TTTCTGTCCTGGCACCTTTTGTCTGGGAGGAATCTTCGTTCACTTTTGGGAATCGGACGGCCAATCACAGCACAGGGCTCATGGAAGGGAATGACAGCCCTTCTCTCAGGAAAGCAAGCCCTGACCCTCCATCTCTCAAGTGCAGTTGGTGGGCCACTCTTGGCACTCCACGGACAGCAAGAGCTCTCTGTCCTGGCATCTTTTGTCTGTGAGGAATCTTCATCCAAATTGGAGATGCCCCCAAAACCCCCCCTTTCCCTTGTTCCCTCCCTGTGCCCCATGCAAGACTCTCCCAAATTCCCTCCACCCTCTCTCATCCCCATAACCCACATCTCCCTAAGTCCCTCCTGACTCCTGAACACCATCAGGTTCCTCTGGATTTGTGGGGGCACCTCTGGAGGTCTCCCCAAGTGGCTCGCATTTCCCACCCCTTTCCCCCTCGATATAAAGCAAAGTGTGGTTTTCCTTCTATTTAATCCTTAAAATAGAAAAAGGATTTAGACTCTTAGAATGATGCATAAAGAGGCTCTCCCCTCAATTTAAACCCTGAAAAAGGTGAAAAAAAGGGTGAGTTTCCCTGAAACTGGGGGCACTGGGATGCCATGGGCTGGTTCCTCTGGTCCCGCTGCTCCTGCTAGGACGGTGCCTGAGTTGCCATCCCCGGCTGTGCCACGTTCCAGGAGGGTTGAGGGGGCAGCTGGGACTGCCCTGACATGGAGAGGACCATGAAACGCTGGGAGCTGGAGAGGTCTCACTGCAAACTGCCCGGGGTGGGTCAGCAAGAGCGAAGCGCCCCAAGACCCGACTGGAGACCCCAAGGGAACTGGAGCCCCTCAAGACCCCCCCCCTTTGAGAGGGGTCACCCCATAGTGGAGCAGAGTCACCCCACAGGGACTGAAGCCCCCTGAGATCCCCTCTTGGAATGGGGTCACCCTGAGATATCCTCCTTGGAGTGAGGTCACTCCACAGGGATCCTGCAGCCCTTGGAGACCCCCATGGAGCAGGGACCACCCAGAGAGGACCAGACAAGAGACGTGACTCAGAGAGGGTCTGACCTTTAATAGGACACAGGGGAGTACAAATTGAGGGTTCTCCCCACCTTCACACCCCCCCACCATGTCCCACTCCCCCCTCGGCGTCCATCCATGGCCCGGGGGAGGAGGGGCCCCCCCTGAAATCCAGCACCGAGGGTCCAAGCTGAGGATGAGAAGGAAATCAGTGGGGAAGGGGCACTCAAAGAGCCCCCAAAAATGGGGGTTTGGGGGGACAGGAGGAACCCGAAACTATCCTCCAAATAATTTGGGAGGGTCAGAGAACTCTGTAGCCGCTGCCCCCCAAAAACAAGGGTTTGGAGGGGTCAGGGACTACACAGAATAATTAGCGGAGGGGTCAGAGACCAGCACAGCCCTCCAAAATGGATGGTTCTGGGGATTCAGGGACTGTCACTCCTCCTAAAAAATTGGGGGCATAAAAGGAGAGAACCCCAAAACCACCCTAAAATGATTGAGGGGATGTCAGACTGTACCACAGTCCCTCCAAAATGGGAGTTTGAGCGGGTTCAGGGACCCCCAACCCCCTCAAAATTGGCAACATGGACGAAGACTCCAAAATTATTTAGGAGAGACAATAACCCCTTCCAAACTCCACAAAATTGAACTTTGGGGAGCTAAAGGATCCCCCAAAAATAGTTGGGGGGGGTGTCAGAAAACCACATAGCCTCCCTCCAAAAATGGGGGGTTTGGGGGGAAGGGTTGTGGGGTTGGAGGGTTTTTGAGGTCCCCAGCTGTGTGCAGGGGGGTTCCCCAGGGTGTCCCCAGTCACTGTTGGGGGTGCCACCCCCTCCCCCCCGCCGTGCCCCTACCTCAGTTGTCATAGTTGTCCCGGTACGAGGCCGAGGGGAAGCGCTCGCCGTAGCCCCCCTGGTTCCTGGGGGAGAGCAGGGGGGGTCAGCACCCATGGGTGCCCCTCCCAGCAACCAGGAGCCCCCCTCCCGCCCCCCGAGCACCCCCAGAGCTTCCCCCAGGATTCTCCTGCACCCAAAAGACCCCCCAGCTCTACCACCACCCTCCCAGCACCCCCGGGGCCTCCCCAGACCCCAGGGGTGCCCCCCCACTCACCGGCCGCCGTAGTCACGGGAGCCCCCGTAGCCCCCCCCGCTGCGCCCCTCGTAGCGGCCCCCGTAGCCACGGTCACCTCCTCCTGTGGGGGGGGTAGGAGGGGACATAAGAACTCCTCAAGACGCCCCAGAGCCCCCCAAATCCTCAGTCCCCAAACAAAGCCCAGATCCCCCCAAAACTCTTGTTGCTCCCCCCAAGATCCATCTGGGACCCCAGTGCCCCACTGTGTCCTCCAGCTCCCCCCCCAAACACCCCCCCAAGATCCCCCATGTACTCCCCCAGGTCACCCCAAATCTCCTCCAGCCCCCTCCCCTCCAAAGACCCCCCAGGTACCCCCTCAAAGCCAACCAAAATCCCCAAGTCCTCTCCAAAACCACCAGACACCAAATTACCCCTCCAAAAGCCCCCTGAGCACCTCGCAAATCCCCTCTCACCACATGTCCCCCCAACCCCCCCTCCCAAACAACTCAAAAACCCTTCACCCTGCCAAGTACCCCCCCAAATGACCCCAGGTTCCCCATTAACCCCCCCAAACAACCCCAGACTCCCTGCCCTCCCCAAACCACTCAAATCCCCCAAAAGCCCTCCAAAGTACCCCAACTATCACCCTATAAAACCCCCAAAGAGCCTCTTAACCCCCACAAGCCCCCCCCAGGTACCCCAAAACGTACCTCGAGCGTAGCCTCGGCCCCGGGCCCGGCCCCCCCCGTAGCCCCCTCGGGCACCGCGGGGCGATTTCCCGGCGTGATCCACCCGGATCTGCCGCCCGTCCAGGCACTGGGGACACGCCATGCTGGGGTCACCCCGGCCCCTCCTGGGACCCCCCAGCCCCAGACCTGTTTAGGGCTCCTCAACCCCCAATGGCCTCCTGGGGATCCCCAAGTGCCCCCCAGAACCCCCAGAGACCCCCCACCAGGGGCACTCAGGGACCCTCAAGTGCACCCCCACACCCTTAGAGACCCCCAAGACCCTGCCAGGGGCCCCCAGACCCCATTAAAAATGGCCCAAACCCGCTCAGAGATCCCCCAGGCCCCCCTGAGGATCTCCCACATTTCCCCGGCCACCCACAGGGGACTCCAGACCCTTGAGGGCCCCCAACCTCTCTGGGGTCCCCCTCCAGACTCCTTCTGAAACCTCTGAGCGTCCCAGACCTCCTGAGCGACCCTAAATGTCGTGCAGGGCTCCCCAGGCTCTGGGTGCCCCCCGTGCCCCCGCCCACCTCGCCGTTCATGGCCCTCATGGCGTCGCTCGCGTGCTCAGGGTTGGTGAAGGTGACGAAGCCAAACCCACGGGAACGTTGGGTCTCCCGGTCCTTCACCACCACCACTGCGGGGGAACAGGGGGTCAGGGACCCCCCAAACCACCACTGAGGGGGAATGGGGAGAGTCAGGGAGGGCTGGGACCCCCTGAAATGGGGTCGCACAGGAGGAAGGGACCCCCACCCCCAAACCTAATACTGTGCATTAAGACCCAAAACTGGGGTCCAAAGGGACATGGTGACCCCCAGCCATGGATATCCCCCTGAAAATCTGGGGTCCCAAAAGCAGAGGGAACCCCCCAAACCCCATTCTATAGGTTACACCCAAAAATAGGGCCTCCACCCTTGGGTGTCACCCCAAACCCAAGTCCTCCAGTGGGGGAGTCAGCCCTTCCAACGTGTCCTCCCTCCCCAAGCAGTTTTCAATACTCTGGGGACTCCTGGAGAGATCTGGGGGTCCCCAGGGAGAGGCAGGGGGACCCGAGGGGATTCTGGGGCTCTGGTAGGGGATCTGATGACTCTCAGGAGGGTTTGAGTGAGGCAATGGTCGTAGAGCAGAGTTTGGGAGATCTCAGGGGCTTTTGGGGGCAACAGATGGGGGTGCTGGGGAGGAGTTGGTGTGTCTGTAATATCTGGGGGTCCCAGGAGGGATATGGGGCTCCCAAGGGGCTTTGGGGGTCCCCAGGGGAGGGTTGAGGGGTGTTGGGGGTTCCAGGGGGTCTTGGAGTGCCTCACCCTCGGCGATGGGCCCGAAGGAGCTGAAGTGCTGCTCCAGCCCCTGCTCGTCCGTGTCGTAGTTGAGGCCCCCCACAAAGAGCTTCCCCTCCTCCGCCGCCATGCGTGGGGGGCGGGGCCGGGAGCGATGTCATAGGGCGGGGCCCTGCCCCTCCAGTGACACTACAACCTGGGGAGGAGGAAGGAGTTATGATGTCATAACCCTGCCCCCACACCCCCTGGTCTGCTATGACATCACAGCCCTGGCTGGAACTCCCCAGGATCCCCCCTGATGTCCCAACCCTCACAGCAACCTCCACCCTGCCTGAAGCCTGATGACGTCACAGCCCAGAGGGAATCCCTCTGCCCCACGCAGGGTTCAGTGACGTCACGGCTCGCAGAATGCACTCCCCTGGGCCCCTATGACTTCATTACTCTCGTGGGACACCCCACGTGGTCTCCAGTGACGTCATAGCTCTCCAGGAGACCCCAGTCCTAGAGAAACCCCCATGACGTCACCGTCTTGGGGCTACCCCTCGCAGCTCCACACCTCCCCTCCCAGTGACGTCACGGGAACTCCCCGGCTCCACCGTGACGTCACCCCAGCCCCACGTGGGTCCCCCCGGCCACGTGGGCACCCCCCGGAAGCGCCGCTCCCGCTCCCCGCGCGCGCTGGCCCCGCCCTCCCGCGCACGCGCGAACCCCGCGCGGCCCCGAACGCGGCGGGGCGGGAGCGGAGAGGGGGGAAGTGCCGCCCGGCGGCAGCGCCTGCGCGGAGCGGCGGGAGCCGCAACTATCGCGACAGGGGGAACGGGGGACGGAGCCCCGACAGGAGCGGCGACGACTCACCCTCGCGGCGCCGGCCGGGCCCGGAATGAGGCCGCGCCCGCCCCGCCCCGGGTTATCAACCGGCCCCGCCCCCGCCGCGCGTCACGGCCGCGCCGCCACGCGATTGGGCACCCGCTCGGACCCGCCCCCCTGGCGTGGAACAGACCATTGGGGGGGGGGGGGGTTGGGGAGGGGAAAGGAGCGCGTGGTACCGCCCGGCCGGGGGGGGGATCTCGGGCCCTCGTGGTCCCGGTGGGTCCCGATGGGGGCCCGGGGGATCCCGGGGGAGCTGGGAGGGAGGAGCGTACCCGAGGGCTCTCGGGGGTCACACAGGGTCCCGGGAGGGGCTGGGAGGGCTCGGAGGGGTTCACACGAGGGGTCCCGGGGGGCTCACACAGGGTCACACCGGTCCCGGGGAGGCTTTAATGGTCGGTCCCGTTACAGCCGAAACGCCGCGGCCCCGCCCCTTCCCCTCCCCCCGTGATGCCGGGGGAGCGACCCCCCGTAGAATCCATGACCCCCCCGGGGCCAGAGGGGCTCCGCGCACCCCACTCCCCCCTCCCGGGCCCCCGTGTGAGCTATAGGGAACTCCCCACCCTATAGAGACCCACAGACCCCCCGGGGGCCACAGGGACCCGCCAAGGGGGCCATAGGAGCCCCCGCGGACCCGCCGAGCCCCCGAACAGTCCAAGGGCCCTTCCGACGGGGCTCCCGCGGCCCCGCAGGGCGCTATAGGGGGCGGGGGGGGGGCGGGGCGGGCCCCCTCCCACTGCATATAAAAAGCCACGCCCCCTGCTCCTCCCCCTGTACATATATACACGGTACCTATAGAGACAGGGACGGGACGGGTGGGCGAGGTTTGGCGATCCTGAGTGAGGCTGGATGGGAGGGGGGTGAGATGGGAGTAACCTCAAGGTAAAGCGTGAGTAACTTATAAGTTCTCTCTCCCCCAGGGCACAAATCGCCCTCAATGTAAAGTGTCCATTTTGTGCGGCCTCGGCCTCGGGGTGGGGGGCATGTGAGTAACCCAAGAGTGAAGTGTCACCTCTGCATCAAGTGTGAGTAACTCTGGAGTAACACCTGATTAGCCCAAGGATGGGGACTGGGTAACCCTGGAGTGAGAAGTGGAGGCTGAGTGCTCTTGGAGTAAGGGATGAGTAATTTCAGAGCAAGGATTGACCACAGAGTAACAATTGTGTGGCCACTGGGTACGTAGGAACCTTGGAGTAAGGGGATAAGCGACTCTTGAGTAAAGACTACTCCCCTCCCACCAGTGTACTGGGTAACTTTTGCAATCTCAGTGTAAGTTGTGATCTCTAGTAGCATCTGAGTAACTTCAACATAACAAACCTCAAGTAACTTCAAGATACTGAACAACAGCAAGGGCTGAGTAACCTTGGAGTAAGAGCTGTGAGGCCCAGAAGATAGTTGAGAGCATCCTGGAAGTGCAAAGGGTAAGTAACACCACAGCAAGCAGTGAAGGAGGTGTATCCATTGGGTATCCTCAGAGAAAAGGCCTGGAAGAACAGGGGGAGCAGGAAACACCAGAGCTGAGACTGAGTAACATGAGTAAAGATGTGACACAGGTCAACTCAGCAACCTCTGAGTAGCACAAGGAGGGGCTAAGGAAGCGACTGGAGGGCGGGGGAAGCTCGTAAGCAGAAGAGGGGCTTTGTATCATCTGAGTAAAGGTTGAGTAGCAAAGAAGGCGCTGCCATGTAACCCCAAACCCACTGGGGGGTAAACAGGGCTGGCCTACTAAGGCCTTAGTAACTTCTGAGTAAGCATTAAGTGTTCAGTAAGGCCTAAGTCCCTTCTGAGGACCCACCACACAAGCCCAATTACAAGTGTGGAGCAAGTCAGCATTAAGATGCATTTAAGTAACCTGCTAGTAAGGGCTGAGCAACCTCTGAGTAAGATGAGGCAGGCCAAGATTTGTGTAATGCCGGAGTACAGCTTTGAGGATGAGAGAACCTGGGATTCAAGCAATAAATAGGGAGAGCTGAGTAGCAGAAGGTGGTAAGGGCTGAGTAACTTCTGAGTAAGGGCTGAGTCACTGTGGCGAATAGCTGGGCAGCAACAGAGGAGCACGCGCGTAACTTCCACGGAAGCAGTGAGTAGGCCAAAGGGTTGGTAACACCAGAGTAAGTGTGGGGCAAAGGCAAAGGAGAATGAACCATATGGAGTAACCCTGGAGTAAGGTGCGAGTAGCAGTAAAGTATCAAACAACACAAAAGGATGAGCTGAGCAAACCCAGAGTAAGGGCCCATATGAGTAACCCTGGAGTAAGTTCTGTCTAGAAGCACTGAGTAACCTCAGACTGAGTAAACTCAAAGTAAGGACACCCAGAAGAAACCCTGGAGTAAGTTCTGAATAGGGGCAACGTATCAAGTGACTTCAGACTAAGAGCTGAGAAAGCTCAGAGTAAAGACCACCCCCCTCAATCATGAGTAACACTGGAGTAAAATCTGGGTAGGAGTAAAGTACCAACCAACCTCAACATAAGGGCCAAGAAGGCTCGGAGTAATAATCTCCACGAGCAACCCAGGGGAGGGAGGGGAGCCCCAGCTGAGTAGCATCTGAGTAATCAAGAGTAGAAACTGAGTAACACCACAGCAGTGAGCAAGGAGAGGCTGAGGAGTCATGAAATAAGGCTGGAGTAGGGCAGATACGGCCACAGAGCTGGGCCTGAGCTGCCTTGGAGTAAAGTCAGAGTTGGGCCTGAGTAACCCTGGGGTCACCCTGGAGTGAAGTGGGACCAACCTCAGAGGAAGCCCCTCCACCCTGGGGAACCTCCTGGGAGATGCTGAGGCCCCAAATAACAACAGGGTAACCCTGGAGTTGAGTGTAAGTAACCTCAGAGTAAGCACAGAAGGGCACTGTAACTCACCCTCCCCGCCCCCTGCCCCAAAACTGCTCCCAGGGTGGCCCTGCCCCTGCTAGGCCCCACCCTGCTGTGCTCCACCCCCTCTGAGCCCCGCCCCTTGAGGGGAGGGACCCATATAGACTCTTATTTATAATATTGCCTTGAAAAAATAAAACTCGAAGTAAATTGGGGGGAAGAAACCCCAGACTCAAGGGAACTCCCCAAAAAAATAGGGGGGACCCCAAACCCCCCTCCAATGGGGGGTCCCACATGACGCCCCCCAAATCCAGCAGCGGTTCCTCAGGGGGTCTTTTGGGGGGCCGTGGTTACCGGTCCAGGGGGCCCTCCTGTAGTTCTGGGGTGACCCCTTATCTTGGGCGTCACCCCCCAGTTTTGTGGCAACCCCCCCCAGTTTTGGGGGGTCCTGGGGGGTTGCAGCAGCAGTCCAGGGGCTGTGGGGAGAGGAAGCAGGTAAGGGGGGGTGGCCCCAAATGGATGAACCCCTAAATTTGCCCCCTCCTCCCTTTTTAGGGGTTTCCCCATTCATAAGAGTTATTCCATTTTGGGGGTCTCTGAGCCCCAGATATCATGGGGGCCCATAATGTGGCAGCTCCATGTTTTGGGGGTGTTCTGACCTTTAAGGGTCCCTGTCTGGGGGTGTTCCCTGGTTTTGGGGTAGATCACCCATTTCTGGAAAGCCCCCTTTCCAGGGGACCCTCCCAAATTTTAGATGTTTTGGGGGACTCGTTTTTTGGGGCGTTCCCCATAATTTCGGGACCTACCCCTAATGCTACTGCTCCTCAACTTTGGGAAGAGTCAATCAAGCAGTCCCCCATTTTGGGCAGGTCACCCGATTTTGAGGGGCCCTACCTGCTCAGCATCAGAATTCAGTGTCGAGCACCCGGAAGGCGGAAGAACCTACGGAGAAAACGAGGGGGGCAGGGTGTGGGTTTGGGGCGGTCGCAGTTTCGGGAGGTCACAGTTTCGGGTGCTGACCTGGGGGGGGCAGGGGGGCCGCGCGCAGCCCCGGCTCCTTCTGCAGCTGGATCTCCTTCAGCGCGAAGATGGAGGTGGCTGCGGGGGAAGAGGGGGGTGGGCAGGGCCTCACATCAAGAGGGTGTTACCACAGCAGAGGGGATGTGGTCGTTTTCAAGCCCCACCCCCCAAAAACACACACCTCACTGATTTGCATTACCCCACGTCATTGATTTGCATAGCTCCTCCCACACCTCTGAGGCTCTACCCACCAATGGCTAAACCCTGCCCCTGGAGTTCCTCTCACTGCCACCCAGTTCCACCAATGGGCACCCTCCTCCAGGGGAAGCTCCACCTCCTCCAAGGCTCCACCCTGCCCCAACAAGCCCCACCCCCCACAAGTGCCCCACCCACTCCCAGCCCTCCTCCCCACCCCTGGCCCACCCCAAAGCCACACCCAAAAAGCTCCACCCAGTGCACAGAGCCACGCCCACTACAGCCCCTGCCCTCAGGCCACGCCCACACGACGCTCCCCTGGCACCAAGTGTTGGCAGCCCCACCCCCAGGACCCCCGTCCCCTCGTCCCCGCACTCACTGTCGGGCAGGGCGCTGACCCGCGGGCCCAGGCAGCCGAAGAACGGGTGAGCCATGGCCTCCGCCGCCGGCAGCCGCCGTCGCCCCTCGAACTGCCCTGCCTACCGTCAGGACACGCCCACGGGGCGGGGACACACCCGCAGAGGGCGTGGCCCCACCAATCCCCATCCCCTCCCTCCCTTGTGTGCCTCCCACCCCACAGTGGGTGGAGCCTGTGTAAGCCACGCCCATGGGGTGGGGGGCCTTGGGGAGGCCATGCCTCATCTGGGAAAGGGGCCCGGTCCCTTGGACTGGGAGGGGTGGGAATGGCACAGGGAGGGGCTCGGGGCAGGGCTGGGAGGGGCTCGGGGCAGGGCTGGGAGGGGCCCGTGGGGAGGGGCGGGGCCAGCACAAGCCCATCCCCCTCACCTGCAGCAGCTGCCCCAGCAGGTCGGCGCCGTCGTGGTCCAGCCTGGGGGGTGGAAAAGAGGGAGTCAGGTACCCCCCCATGGGGCAGCAACCTCCCCATGGGATTGGGACACCCCCTACGGGGCAGAGACCCCCCCTCATGGGGCAGGGGAAGCCCCTGCTATGGTGCAAAGAGTCCCCCTATGGTGCAGAGACCACCACTATGGTACAGAGACCCCATAGTGGCAGCAACCCCCCCCTTTTGGGGCAGCCCTCCCATGTGCCCCCCCCACCGTGGGGCGTGGTGCCGCAGCCCCTCGGGCGGGTACAGCGGGTACTTGTGGGCCCGGAACTCAGCGTTGGCCCCGATCCCCGGCCACGTCTCCTCCGTCGGGGTCCCTGGGGGAGACAGGGCAGGTCAGAGGTCCCCAAAACCCCACTGAGCCCCCCCACGTGCCCCCTCACCCTCCAAATCCCAGAGGATCAATCCAAAATTCCCCACAGCCCCCCAGACCTTGGACCCCCCCAGCCTTCCAATTCCAGGGACCCGCAAAATTACCCCAAATCCCTTTATTCAACCCCAAACCCCTTTAATTTTCCCCAAGCCCCTTAATTTTCCCCAAAGCTCCTCATATTACCTCAGACCCTCTTCAGTTATTCCAAAACCATTTCATTTCCCAAACCTCTGACTCTCCCAAATTTATCCATATCCCCTAATTTCCACCCAATTTTGATTAAAATCCCCTAGATTTCCCCAAGGCCCTTAATTTACTCCAAGTCCCCTGAAATTTTCCCCAAAACCCTAAATTTTCCCCAACTTTCCCCAGTTCCCCCCAGTTTTCACAGAACCCCTGAATTTGCCCCAGTCCTGTCAAAAAAGAAAAAAACATTTATCCCCCCCAAGCCTGTTTATTCCCCCCCAGCTTTGCCCCAAAAACTCTGATTTCACCCCAATCTCCCCAGGTTCACCCCAAACCCCCCTGGATTGCCCCCAAAGCCAAGCCCCCCATACCCAGCAGGCGGAAGATGAAGTGCAGCTGCTCCTCCACGGTGGCTCCGGGGAACAGCGGCCGCCCCGTCACCATCTCTGAGAAGATGCAGCCAACGCCCCTGTGCCCAGCGAGACCCTCAGGCAAGAAACCCCCCCAGACATCCCACTCCCAGCGAGACCCTCCTGGGAGAGACCTCCCACCCCAAACAGGGCTCGTAGACCTCATGTGAGACCCCCAGGCGGGCACAGAGCCCTGTGCCCCCCCTCTCATGCATGCGAGACCCCCAGGTGGGCACAGAGCCCCGTGCTGCTCCCTTCTCATGCAAGACCCCCAGGTGGGCACAGAGCCCCGTGCTGCTCCCTTCTCATGCAAGACCTCCAGGCCAGCACAGAGCCCTGTGCCCCCTCCACTCGTGCGAGACCCTCGTGCATGAGAGCCCTGCAAACCGCTCCTGGAGCTGTGCAAGAGCCCCGGGTCCCCGTGCAAAGGGACCCCGTGCCCCCCGAGCCCCCCCTGCACCCACCACATGTCGATCTGGGTGGAGTACTCGGTGGAGCCCAGCAGGATGTCGGGCGGGCGGTACCACAGCGTCACCACCTCGCTCGAGTACGTCTTGGTTGGGATGGACTTGGCTCGGGCCAGGCCTGGGGGGCAACAGGGGGTCAGGGTCCCCAGAAAGGTTCACAGGGGGCAATGGAGGGCCCCAAGGGGGTCCTGGGGTTGACTGGGGTCCCAAGGGGAGGGAATTGGGGTCCCCAAGGGGGCTCCCATTATCCAAGGGGAATGGGAGTCCCTGGAGGGGAAAACTGGGGTCTACAAAGGAGTCCGGATGGGGCAATGGTGGCCCCTAAGGGGGTTCTGGGGGTCCCTGGAGATAAAATTGGGGTCTCTGGGGAAACAAATGGGGTCATGTGGGATAACTGGGGTCTCCGAGGAGGAAACTGGTGTCCCCACAAGGGTCTCCAAGAGTGTTCTGGAGGGTTCTGGTACCTGCAGATGGGAGACTTTTGGGGGTCTCAGGTTGTGTTTTGATACACACCATGTTTATTTTAGAAATGCAGGGACAGGGATTTGGGGTATCCTGGGGGGGGGGCAGGGAGGGTATTGAGGGTTCCAGGGGGGAAGCTGGGGTCCCAGGGCACATTTTTGGGGTCCCCTGACCGAAGTCGGCGAGCTTGAGGTCCCCACGGCGGCTGAGCAGGAGGTTCTGGGGCTTGAGGTCGCGGTGCAGCACCTTGTGCCGGTGGCAGAACGCGAGGCCCCGCAGCAGCTGGAACAGGAACAGCTGCCCCCCACCCAAAAATGGGCCTTGCATGCTCAGGTTACACTCACTGTGCACTCATTGCACACCCCTGGCACAATCCTGGTCCCTCCATGGGTACAAACCTCATAAACAAGTCCTAAACCCCCCACCCTCCTGGGAGACACCAGACCCCTCACACACCCTCTCACCACCCTGGCCCCCCTTAACCCCACACCCCAACATTGTGCACCCTCCTGACCTTCCCCCACACCTCCCTGATCCCTACACACACGGGGATGAGTCCCCCCCAGAACTTCCCTCACCCTGACATGGTGTGTGCTGACGACCCCCACATCCCCTCACCCTGATATTGTGCACACCGATGACCCCCTAGACCCCCTCACCCTGACATTGTGCACACTGATGACCCCCCAGACCCCCTCACCCTGACATTGTGCACACTGATGACCCCCCAGACCCCCTCACCCTGACATTGTGCATGCTGATGACGTTGCCACAGTCATCCAGGTACTGCTTGAGGTCCCGATCCTGGAGGAGGGACAGGGGGACCCCAAAATGGGGCAGTTAGGGGGGGTCTTGGACTTCCTGGAGGGGGTCCATGGGGAATTTGGACGGTCCTGGGGTCACTGGGGAAGGTGTGGAGGTGTGGGGGAGAGTCTGGGGGTGCTGGAGAGTTTTAACGAGCCCTGGGTGCAACTGAGGGGGTCAACAGGGCATTTGAGAGGGCCCTAGTGATCTGGGGGGTCGATGGGGACTTGGAAGGGCCCTTGGGGAAGATGGAGGTCCTTGGGGGGAACCTGGGAGGGCTCCAAGTGCCCAGGAGTGAACTGGGGTGCAGGGACTGGATTGATGTCCCGGAGGAAATTCTGGAGTCCAGGGGTGTTTGGAGGTGCAGGGAGGGATTTTGGGTCCCAGAAGGGTTTTTTTGTCCCAGAAGGGTGCAGGGAGGGATTTTGGGTCCCAGAAGGGTTTTTTTGTCCCAGAAGGGTTTTAGAGGTGCTGACCAAGTACTCAAAGACGAGGGTGAGGCACTGGGGCGTGTGGACGATGTCATGCAGCGTCACCACGTTGGCATGTTTGAGATCCCGCAGCAGCGACACTGTGGGGGGACACAGGAGGGGATCCGAGGGACATGGGAGGGACACAGAGAGGACACAGGGAGAGACACACGGAAAGGGACACAGGGGGGGACATGAGGGTAAGCGGCCTCAGCCCTCGTGTGAACCATGCCCAGACCTCCAAACCAGCCCTCCCATTTCCACCCAGCCCCAACCCCCCCCAGTGTCCCCCAACCTCTGCATCCCCCCCATGGTGTCCCACAGCTCCCACCCTGCTCCCCAGCCCTCAGACTCCCCCCAGCCCTCCACCTTTGTGGAGGCCCCCCCATGCCCCCCAACCCTCATAGGGGCCCCCCCGTGCCTCCTCTTCATGGATGGACATGCAGGCCCCCCTCAGCCCCCCCTGATGGCCGTGCAGGCCTCCCTGTGCCCCTCACCCTCGCGGATGGCCGTGCATGGTGCCCCCTCCTCGTGCTCCAGCCGAATCTCCTTCAGGGCCACCAGGTTCTCGGTCAGTTTGCTGCGGCCCTTGTACACCGTGGCGTAGGTGCCCTGGGGACAGGGGCACAGGGACATCAGGGACACGGGGGGCATGGGGACATTGGGGACATAAGGGGGACATGGGGTCATCAGGGATACAGGGGGAGGCAGGAATATGGGGGGACATGAGGACACAAGGATAGTGGGGACATGGGGACAGTGGGGACATCAGGGACACAAGAGAGAACACAGGGCGGCCACATCCCCCCACCTACTGAGCACCCCCCTCACCTCTCCCAGTTTGTCCAGTTTGACGTAGGTCTCCAACTTCCCAAAACCGATCTCCGACTGGCCAAAGAGGGAAACGATTACTGGGAAAACTGGGAAGTACTGGATGGGGTGATGCTGGTCCCTCCCACCCTGTACTGATTCATATTGGTCTACACTGCCTATACTGGTTTACACCAATTCACACTGGAACACATCGATGTTCAATGGGTGCCACTGCAGAGGGCTCGGAACAACTGACAAGCGCTGGGAAGCCCCAGGAAGTGACACTGGGATCAGCTGCTCTATATACTGGCCTGTACTGGTCCACACTGGGATGCAGCAGGGAATACCAGAGCAGGTGGAGGCTCATCAGCTGCCCCCCGAGAAGACCAGGGGGCACGGGGGGATGTTGCTGTTCCTACCCCTCAGTATCAGTTTGTACTGGTCCGTACTGGGACGCACCAGGGAGACGCGGCGCAGGCGGCGGCTGAGGGGCCCGGGCAGCCCCAGCCCCCCCTCAGGCAGGCGGGTGTCGGCCGGCAGGGACAGGCGCTTGGTGACGTCCTGGGGGGACACGGGTGACATGGGGACCCCAAAACCCCCCAGGATCAGCCCAAAACCCCCACAGGCTCCCCCCAAACCCCCCGGTGCCCCCAGTACCCCCCAGTTCCCCTGAACTCTACCCAGTGCTCCCCATTCCTCCCAGTCCCCCCAGTGCCCTCCATTCTTCCCAGTGCTTCCCAATCCCTGCAGTGCTTCCAGTGCCCCCAGAGCCACCAGTCCCCCCAGTGCTTCCAGTGCCTCCCAGTCCCGCGTACTCCCCTCAGTGCTTCCAATGCCTCCCAGTCCCGTGCAGTCCCCCCAGTGTCCCCAGTCCCCCCTAGAGTTCCCCAGTGCCCCCCAGTGTTCTCCAGTGCTCCCAATCCCCCCAGTGCTCTCCAGTGCCCCCAGTCCCCCCAGTGCCTCCAGTCCCCCCAGTCCCACCTCGCAGGCGCTGGGCCGCGGGTGCTGGCGCAGGCGCACGGGCGATGCCACCTCCTCCGAGGATGTCCCCGAGGGGGGGTCACTCTCCCCGTCCGATCCCATTCGCCCCTCCTCCCCCCCTGCCTCTGGGGGGCAAGGGGGACATCAGGGCCCCCCAAAACCCCCCCGGGATCCCTGAACCCTCCTGAGACCCCCCCAAAATCTCAGAACCCCCCTCAAATTCAAGGGATGCCCCCCCAGGATCCCCCTGTGTCCCCAAGCCCTCCCAAAGTCCCCACTCAGGGACCCCCATCTCCCTGGATCCCAAGAGCCTGCCACCAAACCCCCAGGACTCCCTCAAACCCCAAGGGACTCCCAAAGGTCCCCAGGACTCTCCCGAACCCCCCTAAAGCCCAAAAGGTCCCTCCATCCCTCCCACAAGTTCCCCAGGGACCCCCAATTCTGTGTCCCCTCCTCCCGGGACAGGGGCACAGGGGGGACCTGGGGAACAAGTCTGGGGGGGTGACACGGGGACACAAGGCAGGGGGGCCGGGGACAGGTGGTGACACCGGGGGGCGGGCAGGGGACAGGATACGGGAACAGATGGATGGACAAGGGGGGGTCCTGGGGACAGATGGACGGCGGAAGGACCCAGGGGGTGAAGGGGGGGGCACAGAAGGGACCCCAGAGCTCTTAAAGGGCCCGTGCCCCGCCGGGGGTGACTTAAAGGGCCAGGCACCTCTAACCCCTGCCCCGCCGTCTTAAAGGGGTAGACGCTCTCTTAAAGGGCCAAGCACCCCCTCAGTCTCCCCCCCTCCTCTCAAAAAAGCTCTTAAAGGGCCAGGCACCCCCAACCCATGTCCTGTCCCTCTTAAAGGGCCAGGCCTCCCTTTAGAGGGGCGGGGTTCCCTCAAAGGGGGCGGGGCTCCCCTTAAAGGGCCGGCGCTCACCGCTGTCGCTGCCGTGGCCGTCGCGGGGGTCCCCCAGACCCTTCTCGGGGGCGCGGCCCCCCCGCAGCGTCATCGACAGCTGCCGCTTGATCTTCTTCATCCGGTCCATGGCCGAGCCCTGGGCGGCGACACCTCTGTCCCCCTTGCACACCTGGGCCCCCCCCCGCATATCTGGAGCACCCCACACGCCTGGGCACCCCCTGCACACCTGGACCCGCCTGAGGCCCTACAAAACAGGATCCTTCCAAGCCTGAGTCCCCCTCCCCAAACTGCCAGACCCCCCCAGTTCCAGGGTCCCCCCGCGCCCCCCGCCCCGGTGCGCGTGGCCAAAGGGGGCGTGGCCTCCTCCCTTCCTCCCCCCCCTCTGTCTTTACAGAGGCGGGGCCGGGCCGCGGGATCCCGGGGGGCTCCCTGGGGGGTTCCTGGGGGGTTCCCCCGTTACCGGCTCAGCGGCGCGGGGCCTCCCAGAAATCCTCGGCCATGGCGGGGCCGGGCCCGACCCCGCGGGCGGCTCCGGGGGGGCCGGGCCGGGCCGGGCCGGGCGGGAGCGGCGGGAGCGGCGGCGGTGGCGGCGCAAGATGGCGGCGGGGCGGGACCGGGTGACGTCAGCGAGAGGGGCGGGGCCAATTAGGAGTCTCGCGGGGGCGGGGCCAGGTGAGGACACGCCCCCCGCAATGAGGGGTGGGGGCTCGGGGGGCCTGGGGGCGGTTCTCGAGGCCGGGACCCCCCTGAACTGCCCCGCCGCGGAAGGAACGTGGGGGATCCCTGCTGGGGGGGACTGGGGCAGCTCCCGGATCGCGGGTCTCTCTCTCCGCCAGCCCCAATGTCGTCACGCCCGGCCGGGCGCCCACCCGTCCCCCGTTTCCATCTGCTCCCTTCTCCCGCCCCCCTCCACCCCGGGACCAGCCGCCCCTCACCCCCCACGCCGCGTTCGGGCTCCTCCCCCACTCCCAAACGTCCAATAGGAACCCCTCGCCCTGCTCCCCCTCCCCTTGGGCTGGAGAGGGTGGGGACACCCCAAAAGATGCTCCACCCCTTTTTTGGGGGGTGAAGCAGACCAGACTTTGGAGTTACTCATTATTTATTCCACAGTCACTAATGGGTGCTTTGAGATTACTCCAGCGTTACTCATGGGGGCTCCAGCAACTACTCCAAGGTTAGTCCATTGTCAATAACAGGATACTCCAGTGGTACCCTGAGGTTACTGAGGTCTTGTGCTGAGGCTACTCAAAGTTTGCCCATAAGTTACTCCAGGATTGCCCTGCAGTTCCACTGTGATTACTCTGAGGTTGCTCCTGGGTTATTCAAAACCTCTCCAGCACTGTTGAGCTCCTGCTCTGGGTTACTCATAGATCGTGCCAGTGTTGCATATTGGGTAGTCCAGGGTTACTCCAGGGTTACTAACAGGACCCTGCCGGGGCTGCTGACAGGTGGCTCACTGTTTACTCACAAACTACTCCAGGTTCCTCCTTGAAGGCACAAGCCTTTACCCGATGTTTACACACGTTACTCCAGGGTTACAAAAAGCTCTTTACTCCAGGTTTACATACACGATACACAGGTGAGAGGAGGGCCCAGGTGTCCATCAGGGCTCGGAGGTGGCAGGCGGATCCTGGAGCCCCTGGAGCTCCCGCAGGCCCTGGGGGGGCAGAGCATTGGGGTGGGATCAGGAGGTGGAGGGGGGGGGGCCAAGGGGAAAGGAGGGAGTCAGGGGGTGTTACCTCCAGCACCAGCCGGATGTGCGCCCGGATCTTGGCCCCATCCCGGGTCAGGGAGTCACTGAGCCTGTGGGAGGGGTGGAGCCTCAGCAGGGGGTGGAGCCTCCCACATGGAGGAGGTGGGGTCACACTCCCCATTTTTTGGTCATAGGGCAATGACGTGGTCTCTTCTTATGGTGAGGGGTGTGGCCTAGGCAGGGTGGGCGGGGTGGCAGGGGGCGTGGTTTATCCACCAGGAGCTTCCTGTGGCCACAGCTGTGGGCAAAGGGGGTGTGGCCTGAAGGGGGCATGGCCCAGGAAAGGGGTGGGGCTTACTGGGATGGGCACTGCTCCCTCCCACCCCACCCATCCCCAGGCAGCTGGGACAGGGGGCGGGGCATGCTGAGAGGGCGTGGTCTTTGACAGGGGTATGGCCTTTTTTGGGCGGAGTCTTGACAAAGTGGGGGGGAGGCTTGTGAACCTTCTGTAACCACCCAACAGCCCAGGCATGGAGTGTCAAGAGCCTGCTGGGGGGCATGGCCTAACTGGGGGCATGGCCAAGGCTGGGGTGTGGCAAGTGTTCAGAGGGTGTGTCCAGAGAGTGTGTCCAGAGGGTGTGTCCAGGGCCCAGAGGTGTTTCAGGGGGTGTGTCCAGGGCCCAAGGCCTAGGGCTGTGTCCCGGGGTGTGCATGTCCGGGGGGTCTCACCGCTGCAGGAGGCGGCTGCGGCGCTCCAGGTGCCGAAGGGCCTCGGGCAGCGTCAGCTCCGCGTAGAACCCATAGCCCAGGGCCACAAACACACGCTGCGGGTCCGGGCTGGGGGGAAAAGGAAGGTTTGGGGGGGCTATGGGGGTCCTTGGAGGGTTTATGGGGTGCCACAGGGGTTGTGGAGGCCCACGGGGGTCACAGGGGCTGTCCAGAGGAAGTTATGGAATTCCAAGAGATTCCCAGTGGGCTCCCAGGGGGATTCCCAGGGTGGTTTTGGGGTCCCTGGGGAAGTCCCACCAGGCTTATGGAGTCCCTGGGGATTGAGGGTGTCTCAGGGGGAATACGGGGGGCCCAGGGGAGTCCTGGGTTCCTCTGCAGGTCCCAGGGGGAGGTTGGGATCCCGAAGCATCCCATGGTAACCCTGGGGATGGGGTTGGGTCACTCAGGGGGTTTTTGGGATCCCCTCCAACTCACACTTCTGCAGTAACGAAGAAGTTGCAGCCGAGGTCGACCTGGGTGCGCAGGGGGGCGGCGGCTTCCTGGGGACCCCCAAACCCCCTAATGCAACACAGGGACCCCCAGCCACCCCAGGGACCCCCAACCCTCCTTCAGGAACCCCAGACAGTCCCCAGGACCCTCAAATCACCCAGATTCCCCCAGTGCAATACAGGCAACCCCAAACACCCTCAGGGACCTCCAATCCCACTTCAGGGACCCCCAAATCCCCCCAGGAACCCTCAAATACCCCAGATCCTCCCAATACAATGCCTTCAAATAACCCCCTAATCTCCCCAGGGACCCCCAAATACCCCCAACTTCCTGCAAACACCCCCAAACAACCCCACATACCCCCAAATATCCCCCAAATCCCCCCCATGAGATCCTCAATGCCCCGCAGGGTCCCCAACTGCCCCCTCAAGACTCCCAACCCCCTCCAATGACACCCCAGGGCCCCAAAACAATGCCCCCAGTGCCCCCAAAAACTTGCACTCCCTCCCCCCACAGCCCCCCATATCCCCCCAGGCCCCGCCCCCCAGGCCCCGCCCCCAGGCCCCACCCACCTGTAGGCGGGCGAGGGCGGAGCGGAGCTGCAGCACCTGCGCCTGCTGCTCGAACACGGCGTCGCGCTGCTCCTGCACGCGCCTGCGGGGGGCGCTGTTGGACAGGGCGGGGCCTCGGCGCGGGGGGCGGGGCGTCGGGGCAGCAATGGGGCGGGGCTCGTCGAAGGGGTGGGGTCAGCGGGAGGGGGCGGGGGTGGAGCGCGGGGGCGGGGCCTCGGTGCTGTTTATAGGCGTGGTCATTTCATAGAGGCGGGGGCGGGAAGGGGGCGTGGCCAGGCCGCGGGGGCTGGACTTGAGCGGCCTGTGGGGACGGGGCGGGGGGAGTGGGCGCGGGCAGAGGCCGGGACGGGGCCCGGGGCGGGGTGTGACGTCACTGACCGCAGGTCGCGCTGCAGGACGTCGCTCACGAAGGCCTCGTAGCGCTGCGTCTTCTCCGCCGCCGCCATCGCCGCCCTGACGTCATCGCCAGCCGACGCGGCGCGGGAGGCGGAGCCGGAGTTGCGTCATCGCCGCGCGCCGCGCCGCTGCCTAGTACCTGGAGCACCCCCTGGCGGGCGGGAGGTCTAGCCGCCATTCTTTCCCCTGGGCTTATCGGGACTCATGTCGTGACATTCCCCAGGCTGGGCCTGTCGGGACTCCCCCGCCTCTGCAGAGGCCATAACGGCCCCGGACTCTCCAGGGCACGGAGCCCCCCCCAAAGCAATGGGGGTCTGTAGGGTCTACGCTCCGCTCCCGGTTCCACCCCCCTCCCCCGGTCTATGGGCCCCCCAGGCCCAACATCTCACCCAGTTCTGGGGGGGTCTGTAGCCCCCTGCCCGAGGTCTGGACATTGTACTCGCGTACGATCTTTAGGTGCCATCCTCAGCTCCAGAGGCTCCGTGAGCCCCCCCCGCCTCGGGGGCTCCCCCCGCCCCAGCAGAGACACAGCGGAAGCAGCTCCAGGACTTTATTGCCCCTCCCAAAACACAGCAGCGAAAGGGGCGGGGCGAAGCGGGGGCGGGGCGAAGCGGGGGCGGGGCTCACACACAGTGTCACGAGCACACACTGACGGACCCCCCCAGGCTCTTGGGGGGGCGGTTGGGGGTGCGCAGAAAATGGGAGGGGAGGACTTGGTGCCTGAGTCCCCCCCCCGGGTGGGTTCAGGGGGTCCCAGAAACCTGGGCACCCCCGGGCGCATTTGAGGGGTTCCTGGGGCTCCCCGGTGGATTCTCGAGGCTCCCGGGATCCACCCGGGGGGAGTTTCATGGTCCCAGGTGCCTGAGCACGCCTCGTGTGTGGGGGTCCCAGAGCCAGGACTCCCCGGGTGGGCTGGGGCTGGCGGCCCTTCAGTCGGTGAAGAGGCTGGCGAAGCTCTGCCGCAGCGCCCGCAGGCTCTCGGGGGGGCCCTGCTCGGGGGCGGGGCTGCGGAGGGGGCGGGGTCAGGGGGCCCGGGGTCGGGCCCCGCCCCCTCCCACCGCACCCCCCCGACTTACCTTGGGGGAGGGGCTCCGCCCGGTTTGGGGGCCAGGGCCGGTTTGGGGGCGAGGGGTGGGGCCTGTGGGCGGGGCTGCCGAGTGGTGGGCGGGGTCTGCGGGCCTGGGGGGCGGGGCTGGGCAGCGGGGGGCGGGCCTTGGGGGCGGGGCTGGGGCACTGAGGGGGACCTGGAGAGGCGGGGCTGGGCGGTGGGGGGCGGGGCTTGGGGCCGTTGCTGGGGGGCCGTGGCTGGGCCTGGTGGGCGGGGCTGCGGGGAGGTGGGCGGAGCTTTGGGCCTCGGTTGGGGAGATGTGGCTGGGCCTGGTGGGCGGGGCTGTGGGGTGGTGGGCGGGGCCTGAGGGCGAGGCTGTGCAGTCGGTGGGGCTTGGGGGCGGGGCTGCGGGGAGGTTGGTGGGGCTTGTGGGCGGGGCTGCGGGGTGGGGGGGCGGGGCTGAGACACAGATGGAGAGAGTGGAGGGCGCGGTTGCACGGTGGGGGGCGGGGCTTGCAGGTGCGGCTGTGGGAAGGTGGGTGGGGTTTGGGGGCGGGGCTGGGGGGAGGTAGGGGGTGCTTGTGGGCGTGTCTGTGGGGACGTGGGTGGAGTTTGGGAGCGAGGCTGTGGACCAGGTGGGCGGGGCTGAGTGGGACCTCGCGGTGGGGTGGTGCTGGGATGAGCAGGGCGTGGTGAAGCTCCACCCAGCGGGGGGCGAGGCTGCCCCTGCGGTGGTGGGCGGGGCTGGGCGGGGCCAGACGGCGGTGGGGCCCCTGTGGGGGAAGAGAGACAACTGAATGGGCCAGTTAGGGGGAGGCAAAGAAGCCCATTTTGGGTGGAATCCCCCAAATTTGCATCCAGCTCTGTCCAAGCATTGGATGGAAGGGCAAGTTTGGGAGCAGATTTGGGGGGATGTCTCGCAGGGTAGGGTCCCCAGATTTTGGGTGTCTGAAGGGTTTTCTTCGTCCCTGCTTTGGGGATGCCCAGGACTTGGGGTTACACCCAAATTTCAGGGGCTGGTCCCAGTATTTTTGTGGGTCCCACTCTAGGGGAGGTCAGGTTTTGAGGGGGATTGTCACATTCTTGGGAGGCCCCACATTTACACAGATCCAAACTCTGGAGTGTCCCTTGGTTTCTGGGTTGTCCCAGGATTAAGCGGGGAAGGAGGAGTCTCACTTTTGTGGGTTCACTCACCCTGTGGTTGGGGCCGTTGCTGTGGGGGGGTCCCCGGCCGGGGGGACCCCGACGTCACTGATGTCTGTGGGGCAGAAAGGAAGGGGCAAGTTTAAGACTTGGGGGGCTCAGGAGGGTTCTGGGGGACTGTGGGGGGAGGGGAAGTTACCTGTAGGCGTGGCCGGGAAGGGGAGGGGCTCCGGGGGCAGGGCAGCTCCTCCCTCATTCGCGCCAGCACCAGCTCCACGATCCGGCCCCGATCCTCGGCCGCCCCCGGCCCCAGCAGTGGCAGCCAAGAGCCCAGAACCTGAGGGGGAGGGCCCCGGGTGTGACCCAGGTGCCCGGGGGGCCCCCCAGGGCTTAGGGAGGGTCCCCGGTGCCCGGGGGGACCCCCAGGTGTGGAGGTACCTGCACGATGTGCTCCTGCCCGTCGGGGCCCCGCAGCGCCTCCACGCCGCAGATGTCGACGCCCCCAAAGAGGCCGGCGCAGGCATCCACCCACCCCCGGTGCCTGCAGGGCAGGGGGAGGGGCTCAGATGGCCACGCCCAGAGACTGAAGCCACGCCCACTAACCCTGGGCACGCCTCCTTGAGCACAGGGACACCCCCATTGGGTATTTTAGCACCCCTGCCTGAAGCTCCTTCTCCAAAGCCCTGCCCACAGAGCCACACCCCCAGCCCCAACTTCTTGATGTAGCCCCTCCCCCAAGGAGAGCCACGCCCCTTATGAAAGCCACACACTTTCCCAACGGCCACACCTCCAATGCCCCACCCCTTCCCACCCTCATGGCCCTGTTTCCTATGGCCCCACCCCTTCCCGTGGCTCCACCCTTCTATGTAGCCCCACCTCTTTCTGCATAGCCCCGCCTCCTCCACACAGTCCCTCCCTGTTGTGTATCCCTGCCCTTCTGTAGCCACACCCCCTCCCACAGCCCCAGCCCAGGCATTCGACCCCTCCCTCAGCCCTCTGAGAACCCGCCCCTCAGAGACAAGCCCCGCCCCCTCACGGGTCAGGCCCCGCCCCCCACACTCACCGAGGGCTGAGGGCAACCGGCTCCACGTGAGGCCCCTCCCCTGCAGCATCTGCGGCCCCCAGAGACCACCTGGGGGGTGGAAAGGCGGGCACAAGTGTCAGGGAGGGCCTCAAAGGCCCCATGGCCTCTGTTACCCCCCAGTTCCCCATCTCTCATTTCCCTCACACCCCCACAGGCCCCCCCCAGGTTCTGTCCCCCAAGCCCCACCCCCCAGGCTGAGGCCCCACCCCTCATCAGAGGGCCCAATACTCCCAAAGCCTGACCCCAGCCCTGACCTGGACCCTACCCCTCACCACTGGGCAGGTACCCTAAGCCACGCCCCCGAGCCAAGCCACACCCCAGGCCATCACCCGGCCCCCACCCCCCCAAGTCTTGCTTCACACCGAGGCACCCCCTCCGTGGCCCCTCCCCCACCACAGGACCCTGTACCTCCAAGCCCCGCCCCCAGGCCCAGGTCCCACCCCAGGTCCAAGCCCCTCCTCCAGGTCTAAGCCCCACCCATCACCACAGAGGCCCGTACCCCAGTCCCCGCCCACAAGGCCTGGCTCCACCCCCAGCCCCACCCCACCACAGGACCCTGTACCTCCAAGCCCCGCCCCAGGCCCAGGCCCCGCCCCCGTGCCCCGCCCTCACCGCAGAGCCCGGTACTCGTCCCCGATGCGCTGCACCCGCAGCCGCTGGGTCCCCGCGGGGCCCCCCTGCACCAGGGCCCCGGCCCGGGCCCCGCCCATGGCGGCCGCCACCGCCCCCAGCACCTGCGGCGTCCCCACGCGCACCTGGGGGGACACGTCACACACGCCCCACCCACTGGCCACGCCCACCGGGACCGCCCCGTGAGCCCCTCAGCCCTCCCGAAGGGATCAGCTTCTCGTCTTGGGGCAGGGACGTGGATGAGCCACACCCACACAGGGCCACACCCCATTTGGGCACACCCAAAAAGGGCCTCTCCTGTGACCCCACCCATCGATCCCCCTCCGTTCTGCCTCTGGGGGCGGGGACAACGCTAAGCCACGCCCACTTCTACACCCCCCACCCCCAAGCCACACCCCCCCATTGCTCCACACCCCCCAGCTGGGACACCCCGGCCCCGCCCACTGCGGGCCCCGCCCTGGCCACACCCCCGGGACAGGGCAGGGATTGAGGAGGGGCGGGGCCTCACCTGGCCCACCCCAGCGGGGGCGGGGCTGAGAGTCACCGTCATGGGGAAGGTCGGGGCAGTCAGCTGGGGACAGATACCAGTGACACCAGTGACACACCAGTGACACCAGTGACACACCAGAGACACACCAGTGACACCAGAGACACCAGTGACACACCAATGACACACCAGAGACACCAGTGACACCAGAGCCACATCAATGACACACACCAATGACACAGCAATGACACCAGTGACACACCAATGACACACCAGTGACACACCAGTGACACACCCCACTTGCCCCAAAATAGATCCCAGTACTCCCAGTCCCCTCCCCACCCCTCCCAGTCCATCCCAATGCTCCCAGTCCCCTCCCAGTGCTCACCAGTCCACGGGGGCGGTTGCAGAAGCGCTGTGGGACCAGGGGAAAGGCCTCGGGGCCCAGTTCCCGCTGCAGCCGAGCCAACTGGGCAAACTGGGAGCACTGGGAGTGTCAGGGGGTGTGCAACCACCCTGCCCAGTGCTCCTAGTCTGCCTGATTATCCCTCCCAGTGCCTCCCAGTACACTCCCCATCTCTCTCAGTCCACCAGTCTCCCTCCTCCCAGTCATCCCAGTCACCTCCCAGTCCACCCCAGTGCTCCCCAGTGCCCCTCACTCCTTCCCCAGTCCCTCCCAGTCCCTCCCAGTCCCCTCCCAGCAGCTCTCAGTCTGTTCCAATCACCTCCCAGTCCCTCCCCGGTTCCCCCAGATGCCCTCCCAGTGCCTCCCCGTCCCGCCCCAGTGCCCTCCAGTGTCCCTCCCTGTCCCTCCCCGTCCCCCCCAGTCCTTCCCAACCCCTCAGTGCCCCCCCCAGTGCCCCACACACCAGGCAGGGGGGGTGGGCGAAGCCGTACAGGGCGGGGAGGGGGTCGGTGCTGGGGACCCCCCCCAGGTGCAGCCCCACCAGAAGCCGCCGAGGGGCGTCCCCGGCCCCCCCCTCGGGGGGTTCTCGAACCAGCACAAAGTCAGGGCGCACCCGCCTGGGGGGGAGGGGGTCAGGGGGGCCCCAGAGCCCCTGGCCCCCCCCAAAATCCCACCCCACAATCCCTCCCTCCACCCCAAGGCCCAACCCCACACCCTCGAATTTGACCCCCCATCCCCAAAACTACACCCAGACCCCAGAAATTCACCCCCACCCCAAATAACCAAATTCACCCCCAAAATCCACTTCTTCCCCCTATCCCCGGTGTCAACAACCCCCTCCCACACCCCAACATCCGACTCTGCACCCAAACCCCTAAACTTCCCCTTGCACCCCAAATTCTGACCCTGTCCCTCAAACTCCCACCTGTGGCTCCTCAAAAACAACCCCCTGGGCCCCCAAAATCCTCCCCACAGCCCCAGATTCCCACCTAGTGCCCTCCAAGATCTCCCCAGCCTCCCCAAAGTGCCTTCCCCCCCTCCCCATAGCCCCAGTACCCCAATTTCAGCCCGTGAATGGGGGAGGGGGGTCCCCAAATCCCACCTGGTGCCCCCCCGGGGGGAGTCGATGGTGACACTCAGGGCTCCGTGGGTGGAGGCAGCCAAGGAGAGCTCCGAGAACTGGGCCTGGGGAACCCCAAAATCCAGGGGGGACCCCAAAGCCACCCTGGGACCCCTAAACACCCCCCCACCCCAAACCTGCCTGAAGCCTCAAATTGGGTCAAGAAAAGAGATTCAGATACATCTCAAAATTCAGGGGGGACCCAAAATCTCACATGGAGACCTCAAAATCTAGGGAGACCCCCCCAAACCCATCCTGAACCCCCAAACTGGATTGAGGAATAGGAGGTTTAGGGGCACCTGAAATTAGAGGGGGGAACCTCAAAATCCAGCAGGACCCCAAGACCCCCAGAGAACCCCCAAAACCTTCAAACTGAGGTAAGAAAAGGAGGTTTAAGGGCACCCCAAAATCCCCCAAAAGACTCCTCATTATCTCTCAGGGCCTCTAAACCCTTCCTGAACCCTCAAACTGAGTCAAGGAATGGGGGGGGGGGGGTTAGAGCATCCCAAAAATTAGGAGGGGACCCAAAAATCCATGGAGATGCCAAGTCCCCCAGAGCCCCCAAAACCTCCCTGGGGGCACCCTCAAACCTGTCTGAACCCCCAAACTGGTACATGAAACTCTATGGGCAGGTTCCAGAATCTGAGGGAGAGCCCAAAGGATTGAGACCCCGAATTTTTAGGGGTTGTCCAAAACTGGGGGAGGGTCCCCAAAACTCACCTGCTCCACTCGCAGCTCCACATCCCCATGGACCGATTTACCCTTGAAGAGCTTCACCCTGGGGGGGGGTCAGAGAGTGCAAAACCCAAAACTAGAGGGTTTGGGGTCCTCAAAATGCCCCCCCAGGGTCCCCTCTCCAACCAACCCCCCCCAAAAAGACACCTCCAAGTGTCCCCACAAATCTGAACCCCCCCAAATCCGCACCCTCAAATGACCCCCCCAAAGTGCCCTCTCCCATATTGACCCCCCGTTAATGTGACCCCCCAAATCTCCCTACCCCAAATTGATCCCAAATACCGACCCACTCAACACGAGACCCTAAATCTGCCCCCCACACTTGACCCCCCCCAAACGTGACCACCCCAAACTGACCATCCCCCCAAAAAGCTCCCCGGGGAAGGGGGGGATGGGGGTCCCACAGGTAATCGGGGGGTTCCCCGGGAGGGGTGTTGGGGGTCTCAGAGGTGACGGGGGGGTTCCCCGGGGGAAGGGGGGCTTGGGGGTCCCAGAGGGGGTCCCAATACCTACCAGTCGGTGCCGGGGGGGGCAATGACGAGCAGCAGCGGGGCCAAAGCGGTGCTCCGGGGGGGTCTCCCCGCCGACCCCACTCCAGCCACCCCCCCCGCCCCCGGCCCCGCCCCGGGGGGGTCCCCGCCCCCCCCCGCCAGGAAATTCCCGTCAGAGAGACGGCGCCGCAGGAACTCCATCCCGCCGCTGGGGGGCGCTAAGGGGCCGGGGGAGTCACCCTACGGGGGGGGCACCCTATAGATGGGGGGGCACCCTATAGGTCCGGTCATGGGGGGGCGTCACCTATAGGTGCCTCCGAAGGGGGTCCCGAGACACCCGAGGGGGCTGGTGGGACCCCGCTATGGGGCAGCTCCAAGGGCCGGGGGGGTCAGGGCTGTGGGGGGTCACCCTATAGGGTCAGGGCTGTGGGGCCCGGCAGGACTCGGGGATACGGGGGCGATGTGAGGGCAGGATCCCCTATAAGAAGGTGGGGGAGGGAGAGCTGGGGGAGAGGGTCGGGCCGCCCTATAGGAAGTATCTGTTGGGGGGGGATCTATAGGGGAGGGGGGTCTATGGAGGGGGAGGGACCCCGGGAAAAGCTGCTCAATAGGGGGAGGGAGCTGCGGTGGTTGAGGACAGCAGCCCTATGGCCGGGCCCTATAGAGGATGGGGGGCTGCAGGGATGGGCTACAGGGGGCTCGGGAGCTATAGGGCTTGGGGAGCTATAGGGATATGAGGGGGCTACAGGGGATCGGGGGCTGTAAGGGATGGGGGGCTATAGGAGAAGCGGGCGCTACAGGGGATGGGGCTGTAAGGGATCGGGGGGGGGGGGCGGCCCGGGGGGGCCGGGGGGGCCCTGTGGGACCCTCTGGAATGACCCCCCTGCAGGATGAGCCCCCTAAAGCATCCCCGGGTGGCCCCGCCCCGCCCCGCCCCCGCGCGCTCACATCCGGCCCCGCCCCCGCCCCGCCCCTCCTAATCCAAATCCTGTGAGTGGGCGTGGGCTCGTGATGACGTCATCATCAGTCCCGCCCCCGGCTCTGCAGAGGGAAGGGGCGGGGTCTTGTGGGGTGTGGCCGGTGACGTCATCGCGAGCAGCGACACCCGAAAAAAGAACCCCTGGGCCGCCCCTTCTCCCCCCCGAGGCTGCCCCTCCCCGGGACCCCCCTCCTCCCCTCCCCTCGGGATTTCGCTCCCCCACACCCCCCCAGGCCGTCGGGGGCCGCTTCAGTGCCGGGTCTTTATTAGGGGGAACAGTCGGGGGGAGGAGCCAAGCGCGTTTCGGGGGAAATCCAGGCGAGTTTGGGGTCCGAGGAGCGTCCCATGAGGTCACCGGGAGCCTCATTCCTCTGGGGGGCGGGAGGGGGGCAGGGGGTAAACAGAGGACCTCGAATCCGAGGGCTACCCCCTCCTCCGCCCCAGGGACCCACATGTTCTGCCCCTCCCCCCGGGGACCCCCACCCCTCCCCCCGCTGACCGTCGGGGGGGCAGGGCAGGACGTGCAGGCAGGGCCGGGTCTCCTCCAGGCGCAGCCTCTGCCCCGACAGGGGCTCGCAAAGCGGCCTCGGCGTCCCCCAGAACGTCACGTTCCTGCTCCCGCTGCTGCCCACGTTTGTCACCGTCAGCCTGCGGGGGACCCCGTCAGCCCGGGCCTCACGGCCTCACAGACACCCCACAGGGACCCCAGACACCCCAAAGAACCTCCATAGAGACCCCGAAGAGACCCTATAGGGACCCTATAAAGACCCCAAAGAAACCCCACAGAGATCCCCTAGAGCTCCCAAAGAACCCCCCCAGAGACCCCCCAGACACCCCATAGAGACTCCCCAGTACACAGAGCCCTCCTGGCCCTATAGAGGCCTCATAAAGTCCCCCTGGCCCACAGAGCCCCCCCAGCCCCATAAAGCTCCCCCAGCCCCCCCCAGCCCCCCACGCACTTGTAGGAGGGGTAGGTGGCCCGACACTCCCGGCTGCGGCTCCGCGTGGGGCTGGTCCCACACGGGGGGGTGCAGAGCCCCCAGGGGCTCCAGTCTGACCAGTTCCCATGCACTGGGGGCACAGGGCAGCGTCACCCCCCAACCCCCACACTATGGGGCGGCTCTGGGGCAGCTCTAGAGCTCCAAACGAGCCCTGTGAGACGCTCCGGGGCAGCTCTGGGGTGGCCCCGCGGGGCGGGGGTCACTCACGGAAGCAGTTCTGGATGTTGTAGCAGGCCCGGACGTGGATGGTGCCGAGCCCCCCCTCGGCAGGGCACGAGGGCCCCCCCTGGCCGTGCCCCACACAGTCCCGGGTGCGCCGCTGCTGCCCCACCGTGCTCTTGCAGGCGATGGACTCCCAGAGCGGGCGGGTGCAGGGGCTCCAGGGGCCCCACGGCCCCCAGTGCAGCACCTCTGAGGGGCACGGGGGGTCAGGGGGGCCGGGGGGGCCTCGCCCTGACCCACGTGGAGGGGTATCGTGGGTAGGGAACGGGGGGGGGCGGGTGCCCCACAGCGAGGGCAGAGGTGTGGTGACCCCACAGCAAAGGGGAGGGGACCTGTGGTGCCCTGTGGGTGCCCCATGGCAGTGGGTTGGGCCCCCCCCCCCCCGTTCCCTTTTTAAACCCCGCCCCTGAAGGCCAAGCCCCGCCCCAGGACTTGCCCCGCCCCATGTCATATTTCCCCAGGCCACGCCCCTCCCCGCTGGAGCCCCGCCCCCTCAACCAGAGCCGAGCAGCAGTGCCTGCCCGGGCCCCGCCCCCCCAACCCCCCCCCAAAGCCACGCCCTTCCAAACCCACCCCCATCTCCAGTCTCGCCCCTCCAAAACCCATCCCCTTGAAGCTCCGCCCCTCCAGGGCCCCACCCTCACAGACCCCACCCCTTCAAACCAAAGCCCATCCCCCAGAGGCCCCGCCCCGGAGGCCCCGCCCCAATTGGCCGCGCCCTTAAAGCCCCGCCCCTCACCCGGGCAGGCCCCGAAGGGCCCGCAGACCCCCCGCCGGGTGTCTTTTCCTGCGCAGGCGCGGCCGCCGTGCTGGGGGGGAGGGGCGTCGCACGCGCGGCGCAACGTGACCCCGCCCAGCCCGCACGTGACCGGGCAGGGCGTGGCCGCTGACCACGCCCCCCACGCGCCGTCCACTGCGGAAGGAAGGGGCGGGGTCAGGGCCGTCAGGCCACGCCCCCCCTCGCGGGGGGCCACTCAGGGGTGGGGGGGGTTATGGGTGTTCCGGGGTGGCCTGGGGGGTCCAGGATGTCCCAGGGGAGTTTGGGGGTTCCAGGGGGTCCTGGGGTTCATGAGGGAGTCTTGGGGGTCCTGGGGGTCTGGGATGTCTCAGGATAGTTCAGGGGGCCCGGGGTGATCCCGGGGGGTCCCATGTGCCCTGGCTGTCCCGGGGCAGTTTGGGGGTGCCGGGGGTCTCACCGGGGCAGGGCTGCAGCCCCGGGCACTCCTGGCTGTCGGCGGCGCTCCCCGCACACGGGGCCCCGGGCGGGTCCCTCGAAGGCGGCGGCGAATCACAGAGGCGCTTGCGGCTCCGCCTCGGCTTTGGCCCCGCCCCCCAGCACGTCCCAGAGCAGCTGCCCCACGAGCCCCACGGGCCCCAGGCCCCGCCCACTGCGAGGGGGCGGGGCTCAGTCCCATCCCCCACCCCCACCCCCTCACACCTCTCCCCCACCCCCGGCCTTTCCCACCCCCCTGCCTCCCACTGCTACCCCTTCTGCCCTTCCCCCCCCCACCCCTTCCCCTCCTTATCCCACTCCACTCCAACCCCTCCCCCCTCCCCCCCCCCAAAATCTGCCTCTCTTCATCCCCTCCTCCAAACCCTCCCCACCCCCTGTCCCGTGCTCCTCTCCCCCTCACCGGGACAGGTCGGGACCCTGCCCAGGCACTCCCGGGTCTCCTCGGTGGCCCCCGGGCCGCAGCTGCCCCCACAGACGGGGGGGGGGTTGGTGCAGCTCCGGCTGCGCCTCTCGGCCCCCAGCGCACACGTCACGGAGCAGCTGCCCCACGGCGACCAGGGGCTCCAGCCCCCCGGCTCTGGGGACACCAAGGGGTCACCCCCACGTCCTCCGTGTCCCCACATCCTCCATGTGTCCCCCATGTCCCCCCCAATGTCCCCATGTCCCCTCGTATTGCTCCAATATCCCCTATATCCCCCCATGGTCCTCCATGTGTCCCTCTGTGTCCCCCCCGTGTCCCCACATCCACCCACGACCCCTCTGTCTCCCCACATCCCTCATGTCCCCCCATGTCTCCCTGTGTCCCCATTTCCCCCCATGTTTTCATCTCAGCCTATGAACTCACATATCCCCATTGTTCCCCCATGGCCTCCCCAGGTCCCCTCATGTGCCCCTGTGTCCCCCCCATGTCCTTCATGTCCCCCCCATATCCCCCCCACTTCCCCCCATGTGTCCCCATGTCCCACCTGGGCAGCAGGGCAGGTGACACGCTTGCAGCTGCCAGTCCCTCCTGTCCCCATCGTCCCCGCCGGAGCTCCGGCTGCGTCCCCGCCGCTGGGTCCCCTCCCCACAGGTCACTGAGCAGCTGCTCCAGGGGCCCCAGGGGCCCCACTCACCCTGTCTGGGGACATGGGGGACCCAGGGTCACACGGCATCACTTGGCATCACCCAGGGTCACCCGGGGTCACCTGGGGTCGGTCACCAAGCACCATTCAGTGTCACCCGGGATCACACGGGATCACCCAGTGTCACTGGGTGTCACCCAGGGTCACACGGCACCACCGGCAGTCTCATGAGGTCATTCAGTGTCACCTGGTGTCACCCAGTGTCAGTGTCACCTGGTGTCACCTGCTGTCACCCGGGGTCATTCAGCATCACTCAGTGTCACCTGGTGCCATCTGGTGCCATCTGGAGTCACCCAGAGTCACTTGGTGTCACCTGCAGTCATCCCGTGACACTGGGTGTCCCCCAATGGCCCCTGGTGGCACCTGAGGCCACCTGGTGTCCCCCAGCCCTGCTCAAAGTCCTCTGGGTGGGGCACAAGAGAGGTGGGGCATGAGAAGGCAGGGCTGGGAGCAGTGGGGGGGTTGGTGGGTGGAGCTTCAGTGGTGTGGGTGTGGCCTCACAGGGGCTTTTGCACTGGGTGTGGCCACCTGAGTGGAGTTCATCCAATGGGGTGGGGCTAGAAGGGGGTTGTGGGCGTGGTCATGGAGGTGAGATGAGTGGGGTCAGGTGGGCGTGGTTTTTAGTGGGCAGGGCTTTGTTGTGGGTGGGACTTGTGGGCGGTGCTGGTTGTGGGCAGGGCTCATTTTGGGTGGGGCTAACCGGCAGGAGAGGCAGCGGCCGTGGGGGCGGAGCCTGTAGCCGTAGGCAGGGTTGAGGCAGCAGTCAGCCAATGGGACGGGCTCGTCGCTCAGTAGCTCCACGCAGGCCCCGCCCCCCTCAGCCTCTTCCAATCGGGCGAAGCACCAGACGGGCGTGGCCGCTGGGGGCAGGACCATGAGGGGTCACAAAGGGTCACTGGAGGAAATGCTCCCCAGTGTTCCCAGTACTGCCCAGCATCGCTCCCAGCATCCCCCACTCCCCACCCAGCCACCTCCAGCCCCTCCCAGTGCCCCCCAGCACCCTTTAACCCTCCACTTCCCCCTCCCTCTGCCAGGCCCCCAGTGCTTCCAGAATCCCCTCAGTCTCCTCCAGTGCTCCCAGTGCCCTCCCAGTCCCCAGTGCCCTCCCAGTCCCCCCAGTGCTCTCAGTGCCCCCAGGCCCCCACAGTTACCCTGGTCCCCTCCAGTCCCCCCAGTCCCCTGCAGTCCTCCCCCAGGCCCCCAGTCCCTCCCAGTCCCCCCAGTACCGCTGGGCCCCAGGGCAGCGCAGAGCAGCAGCAGGATCAGCCCCACGGGCGCCATGGGGGGAAGTGGGGGACAGTGGGGAGGGAGAGGAGAGGGAACTCCGGGGGTCCCACCCACAGGAAGGACCCAGCGGCCTGTCCCTTCCCCCCATTCCAGCCCCAAATTCCGCTTTTTTTCATCCATTTATTAGAAAAAAATCCACCACCAAAACCGAAAGGGGGAAGGGGTGGGGTCACGCTGGGGGGAGGGGCCACTCGAGGTGCCCTCACCCAGGGTGACGCTGGAGGGGGTCGGGGAACACCCCTGTGGGGGGAACCCAGACATTGTGGCCCCTGGGAGGGTGTGACCCAGGTGGGCACGTCCGGGGAAGAGCGTGTCCAGGGAAGGGCGTGTCCTCACAGTGGGTGTGTCCGGGGGGCTCAGGGGCCTTCGCTGAAACGTGTCACCCCCCCGGGGCGGGACCGGGTGGGAGCCTGTGGGGACAGTGGGGTCACACAGGTCACGCGGTGCGACCCCCACAACATGAACCCCCCGCCCTCTCCCCGTGTTCCCAGTGTCCCCCCCATGTCACCCCTATTGTCCCGTGTCACCTCCAGCTGCCACCCCGGCCTGTTCTCTGTGTCTCCCCATGTCCCCCTGCCCCACCCTTTTCTCTTGTCCCCAATGTCCCCATGTCCCGCTGTCCCCCCCCAAGTCCCTTTGTCCTCCCCAGTGCCCCCATATCCCCCCCATCCTGTGTCATCTCCAGCCCCTGCCATTCCAGCCTGTTCCCTGTCAACTCTCACGTCCCCATGTTGTCCCCCCGTCCCGCTCATACCCCCCCATCCCATCACCCCATGTCCCCCTCGTGTCCTCCCACATCCCCCTTGTCTCCTCTGTCCCCTGGTGTCACCTCCAGCCTCCTCCAGCCCAGCCTATTCCCTGTGCCCCCTCATACCCCCCCTACATCCCACTCATGTCTGCCCCCATCCCTCCCATGTCCCCCTGTCCCCCTCCTGACCCCCTTGTCCCCCCATGTCACCTCCGGCCTCCTCCGGCCCAGCCCACTGCCCTCCTTCCAGCCCATCGCCTGCAGCATCCGACAGCCCAGGGGGGGCTCGCGGGGGGGCCCCTCTGCGTCCCTGGGGGGCACCGTGGGGGGGAGTCACTGGGGATCACGCACTGCCCCAGGGACCCCAATCCCATGGGGGTCCCAGCACCCCCCAGCACCAGCACTGGGGTCTGCGCACCCAGTTTTGGGGGTCCCTCCCCCACAGCACCCACCTTCAGGGTCCAACACCCCCACTTTGGGACCCCCCCCACACCATAGTACCCCCTTTTGGGGTCTCCACCACACATTTTTGGGGTTCCTCACCTTACAGCACCCAGTCTGCAGGGCCCAGTTTGGGGTCTGCTATCCAATAACACCCATTTATGGGTCCCCCCCCCCTTTGGGGTCCTCCCACCCCCATTTCGGGGTCATTCACCCCACCTTCAGCTGTTGGGCCCCTCCCACTTTTGGGGTCCCCCAGCCCTCCATGTTCAGCCCCCTTCCCCTCTGAGTCCTGGGGTGCCCTAGGGGTGTGTCAGGTGCTCACCCAGGGGTCGGGGGGGGTCCCCCGAATTTGCGCCGCTTGGGCTCGGTGGGGTCGGGGCCCCCCTGCTTCTCCCGGCGCTCGGCAGCACGGTCCCGGTACTTCATCTGGGGGGGCCAGCACCCATGGGTGCCCCCAGCCCCCAGGACCCATGGGTGCCCCTCAGCCCATTGAGGGGTCACACAGCACTCGTGGGGGGCCCCCAACCCCCTGGGCCCCCCCAGCCCCATCGGTGCCCCCCACTCCATTGAGGGGTCACAAAGCACCCATGGATGGCCCTAGCCCTCCCCCTGCCTCCTCGTGCCCCCCCTGCCCCATGGGTGCCCCCCAACACCCCTGGGTGCTCTGGGCCCCCCCAGTTGACCCCATGTCCCCCTGGTCCCCTGGGTGCCCACCCAAGTTCCCCCCCTGCCACACTGGGATCCCCCTTTCCCAGGAATGCCCCTCAGTTCCCCCTCCCCGGGTGTCCCCACCCCTCCAGGTGCCCCCCTGCCCCTCACCCCCCATCCCCCCCCATGTGACACCTCCATGTCCCCCCGCTCCGGCCCCTCAGGGGGGGGCAGGTGGCTCCGGCGCTGCAGCTCCAGGTTTTGCTGGGGAAGGGGAGGGGGGACATCCCGTTACTGGGGCTCCCCAAGATCTCGGGAAGGGGTCCCCCAAACTTTGCAAGAGCCCCTGATATCCCCCCAACATCCCGGGGGGTCCCTAAGACCACAAGGGGCTCCCCCAACCCCCCTTAAAGAGCTGTGACACCTCTCACCGGGGTCCCACCAGTCCAGGGGAAGCTCCTTGCTCTCCCACGGGGTCCCCATTACCCCAGGGTGCCCCTCTAGATTTGGGGGTGTTTGGGGTACCTCGTGCAGCCCCAAGAGCTGCTGGTGCAAACCTGACACCCCCCAGTGTGACCCTACCAGGCCATGGGGGGGTTCCTGACCTCTTGAGGGTGTCCCCCTTATCCCAGGATGCACCCCCAGATTTGGGGTGATTTGGGGATACCCTGTGCAGCCCTGAGAGCTGCTGGTGCCTCAGCAGGGTCCAACACCCTCAGTGTCACCCTGCCAGCCCTTGGGGGGCCCCTGATCTCTGGGAGCATCCCCATTACCCCAGGGTGCCCCCCCAGATTTGAGGTGTTTGGGGTACCTTGTGCAGCCCCGAGAGCTGCTGGTGCCTCAGCAGGGCCTCCCTGCTGGGGAACTGCCTCCGGCACAGCAGACACGCCAGCTTGGCCCAGTCCGTCAGCGGCTCCTCGGGGGGGCCCGGGCCCCCCCCCCGCTCCCCCTCCTCCTCGCTCTCGCTCTCGCCGCTGTACGCGGCCACCAGCCCGCGGGGGGGGCTCTGGGGGGAACAGGGGTCAGAGCGGCTGGGGGGCTTTGGGGGACAGAAAGGGGTGTGGGGAGCTGGGGGCCAGGTGAGGGGATAAAGGGAACGAGGGGGGTCCTCAGCATCTAGGGGGGGTCTAAGGTGTCTGGGGGTGTCTGGACTGTCTCTGATGGGGGGTGGGTTTAGGGATCCAGGGAGATCCCAAGTGTTTGGGGAGGAGGTTTGTAGAACACCCCAGACCCCAGACCCCAGGGAGTTTTTCAGGGGGTGTTGAGGTTTAGGGGGCATGTCAAGGGGTTCAGGGGAGGTGTCTGGGGTCCAGGGGATGTCCAGTGGGCGTCAGAGGGGTCTGTAGGATGTTGGAGGGTCCAGGGGGTGTCAGGGAGGTCAGGGGGATGTCAGAGGATTGAGGGGTTCAGGGCTGGGGGTCTCACCAGACGCTCGTCGCTCGCCAGCCGGGGCAGCTCCAGGGGCAGGTGCTGCCGCTCAGCCAGAGCCCCCTGGGGAGGCGGGGAGGTCAAGGGGGTTGGGGGGCTCGTGCAGCCCCACGGTGCCCCCATGGGTCACCCACAGCACCCCCACAGCCAGCATCTCCCCTCCACCAGCAACCCCAGACCCTCGTGGCACCACCCAGCACCCACCGCCACCTCCCCGGACCCCCAGACCCCCACTGCCTCCCAGCACCCACCATGTAACACCCACAGCCCCTCCTACAGCCCCTCCCATATGGTTCCATGCCACCCCCAGCCCCCCCACAGCCCCCCAGCCCTCCCTGACCCCCCAGCCCTCTCCCAAACCCCCTCAAACAACCCCCACAGCCCCCCAACCAGCCCCTCAGCCCCCCAACCCTCCCAGCCCCCCCGCGCCCACCCAAAGCCCCTCAGACACTCCCCCCGTCCCTCCCGGCCCCTGCAGTCCCACCTTTTTCTCCAGGATGGCGTACCCGGCGTCGGCCGCCGCCGCCTCCCTGCGCTCGTCCTCGCGGGGGGCCGGGGGGGGCCCCGCGCTGCGCCCGCTCTCCCGCTGCTTGTTGAGGCTCCGCGCCCAGCGCTCCATGTCCTTGGCGATCTGGGGGCCGGGGGGCTGCTGGGCTGGGGGGCACCCCGAGGGGCCCAGAGACCCCCAGCCCCCGAGGGGGGAAGATGTGGGGGGGTCGGGGGGTACTGGGGGTCTGTGGGCACCTGGGGGTGATGGGGGGAGACATGGCGGGGACTGGGGGGTTGTTGGGGGACCCACAGGGGATATTGAGGACGCCCACGATGCTGTTGGGGTGGGGGTTCTTGGGGGTCCATGGACATCCCCGGGATCTGTGGCAACTCACAGAACATATTAGGGCCCCCCCAGATGGTGCAGAGGAAGTCTCTGATGACCACAACCGCTCTTGGGGTCTCTCCCCTCACTTCTAAGAACCCGTGAGGGCTCCTGAGCCCCCCCCCAGACCCTCCGTTTTTCGGGTCCCCACAAACCTGCTGGGCCGTCTTGGTCTTGTGCTTCTCCTTCTTGTCCTTGGGCTCTTTGGGGGGGCCCGGGGGGCCGGGGGGGCCGGGGGTGGGCTCGGCGGGGGGCGCGGCCACGTAGGTGCGTCGGTCCCCGTCCCAGTACAGGTACTGCCCCGCCCCCGCGTCGTAGTAGTACTGGGGGGCGGCAGAGGGGTCAGGGGGATCCCTGCACCCCAAGATGGACCCTCTGGACCCCCACCATTCCCCCAGGGCCCCAAAACCATCTCCCTGCACCCCAAGATGGGCCCTCTGGAGCCCCAGTAGCACTCGCAGCACCCCGAAAATCATCCACCGCTCTCCAAAATCACCCCCAGGGCCCCAAAACAGGATCGTAAATGCTCCCTAACTCCCCCTTTTTCACCTCAAAACACCTTCCAGCCTTAAAAAAACATTTCGGGCCCAAGTTCACGCTGTTTGGGCCCAAGATTTGGCTGGAAGGGTTTAAACATGTCTCCTGTACCCCAAAACATTCCTCTGCACCCAAAAACCTCCTACTGGCCTCAAACAAACCTGTAAAAAGTCCTTAAATATGTCGGTTCTCCTCCAAACGCTTTCCAGCCTTAAAACACTGTTTTCAGCCTCAAATCGCACTTTTTTGGCCCAAAACTGTTCTCGACAAGTGGGGAGGACCCCCCGCCCCCCCAGTCCCTCCCTGTGCCCCCCCAGAAGTCCCACCTGGGAGTGGGGGTCATAGTAGAGGCCGGTCAGGGGGTCGTAGTAGTACCCTGAGGTCTCGTCGTACTGGTAGGTGGAGACGTCGGGCACGGCTGGGGGGGCACGGGGGGGTCAGGGAGGACCCCCAAAACCCTGGGACAGCCCCCAAGACCTTGGGATCCACCAAAACTCCCCTCAGCACTCCAGAAGTCCCCCTCAGGACCCCCTAAAACCACCCCAGGACCCCCCCAAAGCACAAAGGACCCCCCAACATCCCCCTAGACCACACCAGGACCCCCCCAAACCCCTCCCAGGACCCTTCCCCAGGCCTCAGGCCCCCAACAGTCCTTTCAAGTTCTCCCCAGGCCTCCA